CATTATCTTTATCAACACTTTTCTTAATTCATAAGATCCAAAACCTATTTCTTACGCTGTGTATAAAAACATCATAGAACACTCCGATCAGATCAATCATAATTCTTAAAACACCAAAAACACCCGGTTAGGCAAAAGCAATGTCACCAGCCTCACTTGAATTGAGTAGCAGGAAACAGCGAAAGAACAAGCTTGATCGGCAACAAGGAGGCATCTCTGTCAACATGGCAAGACCAGGCTAACCACAAACTCCAGTTCTTTATTGGGGGTTTGATTTATGACGCCGAATAGCTAGAGCTCAGTAAAACGTAACAACCGCTCAATCTTGACAGAAGCAGGAATGCTTGTCACCGTTGTCATCGAACTTTCAAATGAATGTGTTGTACACAGGAGGAGGTATAAAGCTAAACAGTTAAACTCAACCTAAAGGGAACTGGATGCATAATACTATTTTATTATTCATTATGGGAATTTAAAAATNATGTCTCAATAGCCTGGACTATCATTTCATCATCTTACGGTTTACACTTCAGTCCCCCAATCCCAAATATATCTACCCACCAATGGATTCGTATACTTCGGTTGGCCTTGAATACGTTACTGAATATTGATTTAACACTTGTTGTGTTTCGCTTTAAAATAAGCGAATAATACAACTGTTGTGAAGACTTCACTCAATGCATGTTGTACGGTGGGCAGATCCTTGTAACATGTCTCACTAACTGGTCATGGCTCTAAAGCAAACTGGACTACTAAAACCTGCTTTCGAGCAGTTCGAAAAAGCACTGTTCCCACGCTTGCCATCAGCGATCCTTCGGCCCTACACGAAGTACGTCGTTCAAATATGGAATCTATGGTTGGACCGCGACAAGAAGGCTCTAGAAGGTCCGCAAAGGTTGGCAACAAAATTGGTGAACGTCTATTTAAAAAGACATACTCCGAAAGACTGCAAATTTTGGATCTTTACTCATCTCAATACAACCGACTTCCGGTGGGGGGGCAAATCTTGAAATATCACGTACCGCGTCAACCCAACCACCATTACCGTTCTATGGTGACTTTATCTCAAAATAATCACCCCAAGGGACATCCACTAAAGATGAAGACCTAGAACAGCTAGCTTGATTGCCGGCATCACTCGTTTGCAGTCAGAGTGTGCGGCGTATGAAATTTGTTTCCATCTCACGTAGTGTATGCTTCTACGGGTGAACTGTTTAAACCGCAACTTGATAAAGAACTGGAACACCTGAAATTTCGACATCCATGAGTGATCATGCATGTTATTATTATTTTCTGTTTTGAAAGTTATTCAAATGATTCTGTAAAAATCCCCTGGGGTATGACACGCTTTAGCTTTGTTAAATCGCCCATAATAAAACTTTTTGACTTTGACCTTGAATCAACAATAACAAGCTATAACGGAGCGATTTCTTCAAAGAAATGCATAACTCAATCACCATAATTCAGATCGTATCAACATCTCCAGCCGCGCCAACAGTATCGTTGAATGTTGCCAAGCGCGGATTTATGTCACGGATGGGAGAACGACCACTTCGGTGGTAAACTGTGAGTGAGATGCGTACGTTTCACTACGAAAGCTGTCGTATACTATCAGCGCTGACGCATTAGACAGGCCTGGGATTTTCAGCTGTTTGGCAGCTCTATGTGGAAGTCGCCCAGGTGTTTTAAAATCATTGTGATATGTGTGATTGTGACCCTCCACTGAATCAGACCACTCATTTGCGCTTCTTCATTGTAATACAAGTGTACGTTGAGTGTCCGGGTTCGACGCAATCCATTCAAAACATACGTTTTGTCACCGACTTGTGACAACGTTAATTTTTGGCTTCCCCATAGTCAGAGTTGTACCCTGAAACAAAAGCCATGTGATGCCACATGGTACGATATTTTTAATTATATCCATGGGGTATTCCGCGTAGGATTGGTTCGCTCACACTACGTCCTTTGAGAAGCGATGCAGCATGCGCTCTCACTGCGGCTGGAGCGCTAGACAAGCGAGCTGGAATGCTCAACACTAAGAATGTTATTTACATCGGTAACTGGAATGTCAGGGTATTGCTCGAAAGAGCAGTCAAAGGAATTGCATATACTTCTTTGGCAAATACAGATTCCATATCGCCTACCAGTTTGAGGTACAAGGAACTAACTAGATTCAGTGTTAGACCACGCGAAGTAACTCTCAATTAAATTTACACTCCTGATTAGGTAATAGCGGACCAACAGATAGCTCTTTTCTTGCTACGATCGCTCTATGCTTTCCCTTCTAGAATTGCCTTGATACGTTTCAAGGGATTTTACCATCACGCCTCAACTCTCTAAGGTGAAATGATGACCGAAAACCAAATCCTGCAGTTAACTCTTGAGCATGTTCAGCTGTAAACACAGAAGCAATATACTCCTCGCTGCAGAGAACTGAAATACATCAACCGAACCTACAGTTAACCACGCTCAGCTTGTTCCTGAGAATTCCTTTCTTGGCAGTTTGTTGCACTTTTTCTGATAGTAATCAGCTGGTCACCACATATATGCACTTCCATCAGCCTGTATAGTATCACTTGAACTGCTGTTCAAATTACGGTTAACCGGCACATAATACGATCACTTCGAGGATTGTCAACTGAAGATACCGAGGGTATCTGGGATACGACTCAAACCCACCTTAATTACTAAACTTTTGTGGCAGGCAACTTAGAGGCGTTCTAGCTCAACAACTTCCATATGCTTGTCTGGCCTTATGTGTTCACCCACTTCAATTTTCGGGGTTCTTCCTGCTTTTTATCGCATGATAATGTGTGAAAACAAAAACCTCGTGCACGCCTGACCCACGATGCACCCAATCACACAGATATAATGGTCAAACTCTTCGCCGGGATATTACTGAACCCTCTAAAGGTGACTAATTATAAGCGCAATCATCTAAGCCAGGGAGATTTCTGCTGTGAAAAACGCAGAGTTCAGTAGTTCAGTACTGTTTTCGAGGTTTCAGAGTACTTTTACAATTTTCAGAAATCATCGTAAGCATGATTTTTTCGATTTTAGCACAATCTTCAACTAGGTAGACAGGGGCAATGTTTGTAACAGCTTGAGAATGGATGACATACCAAAACGTATATGATAATCAACATCCTGGGGTCATATCACAGGGATACCCAGGCCCTTGATCTCGGTTATAGAGAGCAACAGGTTGATTTTTGCTTTGACCGAGCATTTCGAAAAAGCTAACCGCCATCAACAGTGGCTGAATAATGCTATATGCACTAGGTGACCAACGGGAAGTTCAAACATGCCCTGTCAGATGTACGATGGATTTTGACTTTAGCAGGAAATAGTCGTCCTTGGAGAGAGACATTTCACGCTGCAGATTGTCATTTACCGTAAAAACAGTCTTCAAATGACATGAGATGTCAAACCAAAACACATTAAACCAAGCTATTTTCAACCATACCAAATCTCTTGAAGCATCCTCTACACGCAGTCGGGATCCAGTCAGATGGGTAGAATGCTTTGATTTACGATATTACTAAACAGTAGAGAAGCGGATGAAATAAAGCCGGGCTTGGACCATCTCCTTTGAGCCTTCTCAGGGTTTCGTAGGATATTGTGGACCCGCAGTACAGTCATCCATCGAATGTTATTCGTGCATACCAAGGCGCTATGTGACCTGTTCTGACCAATGGTCGTGAAACATGATCAACTAAAGTCCAGGTAGTCCGTGAATTGGAGGGTCCTGATCACTGTCGTCTACTCATCATCTTGAAATTACGTTTTCAAGACCAAATAGTCAACAACATAATTGAACAAAGTTGCTTTGAAACAGAGAAATTGTGATCGTTTCTGCCACACCTCTGTCTTCAACAGTTTAATCCCGTTTTCCGATGACCAGAAGTGAAAATTTTGATAACAGTCATAACCCAATTACATACGCAGAAAGATGTTTGGAAGGCCAAAGCCAGTACCACAAACCTGAGATTGTCGTATGGAACCATAAAACGAACGATTGATAAATATCACGCGTATGTACGAGAGTCCCCGGTCCTCTCTGTTGGTGCGTTGCTAACAGACAAACACTTCACCTATTCTGATTTCTGTTTTATACAACCAACGTCCAGCTGCACAATGTATACTATTGGTTATCTCAGTGTCACGATGTTAATTTGATCTGTGACCGATTAGTATGAATAATATATCTGCTTATTTGAGGTATCTAACGTACTAACAACCTCATTAGAATAACGTAGTGTTATAATACCACGAGATGACGCACCTAAAGGGCTATGCGTTATAGCCTCAATACAAGGTATATATGTGACTGGTGTCCTTGAACAATCAAATTTGTAGTGGACCATGCATGAATAATTTGGGTTTAATAACATGAGCGCTGATTTGTTAGCACATATAGAACCAATACGCTTTCCTGATGCACATGGTTTAATTCGATTTCTTCAAAAAAAAATCAAATGACTACTTTTGTGGCCTACTTATTACTCCTCGGTATTGAGAAATTTCTGCGGCTGATCAGATGTGCGATTGGAAGTAATGTTTTGAAGACATTCTAAACAATAGAGTTGCCTATTATGTTGGTAAACGATCTGTAAGGTTTGGTGATGGCGTGCAGTGTTTTACTCGCAGTCCATTTGAACCTAACTATGTGAAGATGCATAAGGTCACTCGGAATTCTCTATGGAGCCAGGTGGGAGGAGATCGTGCACTATTTAGCCCTCACCGGGTATCTTGAATAAAAAGTACTGCAATGAACGAAATTACTTTTCTGTGCTTCCCCTTCTCTAGCTGATAAACTATAGTTTACATAAATAAAGTGAAATAGGGGGTGGAATAATTGCATCACTTCGGCTAAACCTTGTCTCAGATTCCTGTCCAGGACGATCATAGGGCTACAATTCCAAGTAAACTTCTGTTTCTGCAATCTCATTCTATGTACACGCCAGATCTTTGAAAACAGTTGATCCCCAGATCCATCTATGGGCACCATCTTGATAGTTCACATTTTCATCACGTTGGGGTAAGTTATCAAACGGGAAACAGGAAACAATATTCATTTTTTCAAGTTTACTTCTTTTTGTACCTGCAGTCGCCACCCTCTTGGGATGTTTCTGTGGCTTACAATTGACTGTTGCGTTTGCCACGCATACCTATGTTCTGCACGATTGATCGATCTTTGCTATCTGCTACAACTACACACGCACGTCATGCAAACTTAATCTGTTGCATATACTAAGTCCGCCCGCGCCAATCAGATGATTGTACTGAACTGTCCGCGCCGATCGATCCGTTGACTGTTTGACCGCATTCGGATGTCATGCGACAATTCCGTGTTTTGCTCTCCTGGTTGTTCACCGGCCCTTGAGACCACCTGCATGCGCACCTACTGTAAATATACGAACTGCTCAATTTACTACTTAGTCATTTTCCCTACGCAAACGCGATACAAATATATTAGTCAGAAAAAGGAGTCTGATGCGCTAATGACCTAAATAGATGAGTAAGGCCACTCGACCGGTCGGTTTACTACTGTATGTTAGCCACAGTGAAAACGATGGAGATTCCAAATTGTTCATCCCTGAGGGGCTCGTACAAAACCTTTCATTGCCCCTCATCCATCGATATTTTTACTCCCCTATCCTAACTGACGACAGTCACATTCGGTCTAGACATCAAAACGGGAATCGGAGGTTTGTTCACCTTTCATTTGGATCCAGGGTGTCTCACATACAATTACCGCCCCGCTGTTTTCACCTGGTTTTACCCGGTATATTAGCCATGCAAGACCAATCGCTTAAAATAATTCATTCGTAATGAACAAAACACACAACACTGTAAGCGAGCACGATTTAATTCGGGAATCATTTTGCTACATCGCAGCTGGTGCTTACTGAAGAATACCAATTACTCTATATACCACAGGTGTTGATAATCTAACATGATATCAATCTGACCCTCCGCTTACGTGGTTACCAGGGCAATGCCAGACTGATGTGGTTCTCCTTTTGCTGAAAAGCAGGGGCTTTCGGCGCTTGATTGCTATGGTCTCTACAAATCTCAGCAGCCATCCATTCGACGGCTCTGACAAAACAGCACATTGAAACCCTAAACAGTCTCAAATCAAATACGGAGTTCGACGTACTTCCACCCAACAGAGGATCCGGTGCTTTTGTTATGGATATGTTTCAGTGTACACAGCAACAGGGATCTCAAGTTCGTCTCCCTCATCTCCTCAGAGGGTTTCGTATCCGCACCCTCCTATCACAGTCAGTGCCCCCTATCTGGAGGCTACTGATGTCGCCGAGGTGCTACGAGGACTTCGTCAATACCAATCCCCAGGTCCAGATGGAGTTCACCCGTTGGCGCTAAAGGAACTGGCTGATGTTGTGTCCACCCCGCTAGCCCAGATGTTTAATTTGTCTCTCCGGACTGGCCGATTACCATCGGACTGGAAGAAGGCGCTGGTTGTTCCCTTGTTCAAAGGTGGTGATAAG